TAATTGCAACAGACTAAAACCTGTTTACTTACTTAACATGATGAGTAGCTCATTCCCTAGCATTGATTTTAGTGTCAACAGTTGGGAAAAGCCTCACCAATTCCTTCTCCTGTGTCAGAATGCATTATAGGAGACTTGTAATTATCTTCATTGATTTTGGCCTTTTAATTAGATTAGTTATTCTGTAGTCTTCTTAAATAAGGTTCTTAGAAGCCATTGGTTTCCCAAATGATCCAGCTTAAGGAAGAAGAACATTTGGATGTTACTATCTTTTTTCCTGAAAAAAGGAGCCTAAGTAATCATGGAAAGGATACACAGGATGTTTTATTTTATAATAACTACATGAATTGATCTAAAATTCATCATTTACAAGAAATGTATTTTTTTTTTTCTAAAACAGTATTGTTTTTAAAGATTATGCTTATTTGGTTTCAGGATTCTGCTACCCCCAAAATATGATATTTTGTGCTTTTAAAAGACAGTTACAATAACATGTATTCACCTTTCTCTTCATTTCCCTTGCACCTGGGCCGAGCTGGGATTACTGCCAGAGTGGTCCCCCACTGCCTTCAAGGCTAGGTAATAAAGCTACAGGAGGCTCTCCAACTTCAATTCAAACTACAGGTTTAAACACTCAAAACTTGTTCTTTAAGATTTGTTTATTTGAAAGCCAGTGTGACCAGGAGAAAAGAACTTGTCACAAAGCCAGAGCAGGTGACATACAGATCCTCAGTGTGCTTTTAAGGCAAAGAAAGATTGTGGAAAGAGTCAAGAATCCAGGCACAACCTCTTTATTCAGCTGCTCAGGAGCAAAGACCTGATCTAAATGGGTCCATAGTCTTTAAATATCACATAGATTTAAATTTCATAATAAATACCACTTCAGTTTATGTCACACACCTGATCCGTAGTGATATCTAAGATAAAATTACACCTAAAATCACTTCTAAAATTACTTCACATTATATAGTATGTACATAAATTACATTTCCCTTCTACAGTCAAAAATAAATTCCAATATATTTTTGGCCCGGAAGGTTTCAGAACAAGAGTTATAGATCAGTATGTAACCATTGAGTAGGGTATGTCAATTATACACACTTACTATTAGCATGCATTTGAAATGATTATAAAAGCTCTGATAATTCAAGTACTTAAGGAGGCAAAGCATTGAAATTGTATACCACGGGAGGTAGTAAATGGCTGCTGAAGTTCCCTAGCTCCTGGCATATATGGACAAGACCCTGTTGGAGCTTCCAACTCCAAACTTTAATCTGGGGGAGACCCAGCTGCTGCCTGCAAATGGAGAGGATCTCGTGTTTATCATTAACTACTGATGATAACCTTTGGACTCAAATTTTTCCAACTTGGCAAAACCCTTCCTGCATTGTCCCTGTTAAGCAGCATCGAGAAGAAAGGCCAGGAAGCTTGATACGGCCACAAATAAACATCTGTCTTTCTCAACTCACTTTCTGAGATCTCATCTGTTCCACTGCCCAGGGGCAGAACTGAAGAAAAGCTACATGGTACCCTTGGGAGAAATGAATACTCAATCAACAGTATTGCAAATCATGGAGGATCTCTCTCTCTCGCTCGCTCTCTCCAGCCTCTCTCCTTTACTCAAAAGGAATGCACCAGGTTAGCTTCTTGCTGTTCTCAACATTTTTCAGCTCTTTATTATTATTATTTTAACTGTTACTGGAAAGTCAGATGTATAGAGAGATGAAGAGAAGGAGCAAAAGATCTTACATCTGTTGGTTCACTCCCAAGTGGCCAAAAAGGCCAGAGATAAACCAATCTGAAGCTAGGAGCCAGGAGCCTCTTGTGGGTCTTCCACATGTGTATGGGGCCCAAGACTTTGGCATTCTCCAGTGCTTTCCCAGGCCATAAGCAGGCAGCTGGAGGAGAAATAGAACAGCAGAGACACGAATTGGCACTCAAAGGGCAACACTTGATGGCAGAAGATTAACACCCTTTTGGCATCCTGGCATTTGAAAGGGGAAGATTAGCCAATCGAGCCATTGCAAAACTGCTTGAGCAGGACCCTCGGAGCGTGCCTCACATGGGGACCTGGGATGGGTTGGAGGCTGGGAGGGGCTTTTCCCTTTGTTTCTCCCCTGACCACAGATACAGGGAAAAAAGTGTGATATTAGTGTAGAAACATGGGTATTATCCACTTTGCTGTAGACCTTGACCCTTTCGTACCCTAATCAACTAAGTAAGATCATTTAAAAAAATAAATAAGAAAAAAAAATCCTGATTTAACTTGCAAAGCTAGAGTACTTGAAACAATTGGATGTTAAATAATTTTATGATTGAAAAATAATTGAAAAGCATTTACTAAAAATTAAGTAGCATAATTAACGGTAGCTTATTATAAATGTCTTAAGCTCATTTAGTTTAGATTTAGCAAAAACAAAATGAAACAAAAGCCTTAAAGTATATGTCCTCTAGGTGGCAGCAAATTGATCTTAAAATACTGAACAAAAACTGGAGAAGGGGCATCTTAGTTGTAAGGAGAGAGCTAAGAAAAATTTTTTTCTAAAGATTTATTTATTTTTATTGCAAAGTCAGTTATACAAAGACAGGGAGAAACAGAGGAAGAGCTTTCATCTGATGATTCACTCCCCAAGAAACAGCAACTGCAGGTGCTGCACCAATCCAAAGCCAGGAGCCAGGAACTTCCTCCAGGTCTCCCACATGGGTGCAGGGTCCCAAGGCTTTGGGCCGTCCTCGACTGCTTTCCCAGGCCACAAGCAGAGAGCTGGATGGGAAGTGGGGCTGCCGGGATTAGAACCGGTGCCCATATGGGATCCCGGTGCGTTCAAGGCGAGGACTAGGGCTGCTAGGCCATTGCGCTGGGCCCAAGACCTTACTTTTAATGTATCACTGGTAAATTCTTCTAATTTGTATTTTTTAAATTGGTATTAAATATAACTTTATTTATGTACTGCAAGTTAATTCTTTTTCAATTTACCATTTTCTATTGTGATTAAATTATTTTATTATCAATTGATTAATAATGTTCAAAATTCCATTTTATCTTCAGCATTTGCTTATTAGTTAATCTCATCCATATGCATTTTTATATACTTGTTACTCTGCTTATAATACAAAATTTTAAATTATTGAATGCACATTTTTTGAAAGATTTATTTATTTTTTTATTGCAAAGTGAGATATACAGAGAGGAGGAGAGACAGAGAGGAAGATCTTCCATCTGATGATTCACTCCCCAAGCTACTGCAACAGCCAGAGCTACGCTGATCTGAAGCCAGGATCCTGGAGCCACTTTTAGGTTTCCGATGTGGATATAGGGTCCCAAGGCTTTGGTCCGTCCTCGACTGCTTCCCCAGGCCACATGCAGGGAGCTGGATAGGAAGCAGAGATGCTGGGATTAGAACCAGTGCCCTTATGAGATCCGGGCGCATGCAAAGCAAGGACTTTAATCACTAAGCTACTGTGCCAGGCCCCTGAATGCACTTTTAACTATTATCATATGATTTAAAAATCAACATAGGAATCTTACAAGGGAATATTACCATATGTTCCCTCTCATATTTGTACTATTATGATTGTACATGTTTTGCTACATGTCAACAATCCAATTATATATCATATAGTTATTTTTGCTTTAAGCTGCTATCTTTCAAAAACGTTAAGATACATTTTTAAACTGTAATAATTAGTTATTTTTTTTTACTGCACAAGGTTACTGTTTTTTCGGTTTTTACTGCACAAGTATGCTGGCACCAAATTCACTCAGCTTTTTGTTTTTGTTTTAATCTTATTTTGCTCTCATTTTCTAGGAAAGAGCATTTACAACAGATTCTAATCATGCCTGCGTGTTTCTTCCTGGGTAAGTCAGTAAGTCAGTGAGCCATCATTTTTTGGGCTGGCATTTGCAGAAAGCTACCTAAAGGGAGAATGTAAAAGCTCCTTCAGGAGAAGATGAAACTTAATAACGCATTATAAAAGTATTAAACTGTTTAAGCTCAGGTTTCTCTGGCTGCAGTGGCAAGAGGCATCCGACTGCTGTGAGATTCGGATGGCAGGATTAAGGGGCAGCCAACATCAGATCCCTGTTTTTTGCCTGTTTGGCCGTGAATGACTATATTCTTTGTTTCTGATCAAGGAGTGTCATGTGTGCCACTAGTGCCCATGTTGTAGCAGGCTAGCTTGTGTAATAGGATTGTAAATAAGGTGAAACCCCAGAATCTTCAAAGAAAAAAAAAACATAAAAATATTTGTACTTTATTGAAAGGTATAGAAACTGCAAGAGAGAGAGAGCAATCCTTTACACTTCGATTCACTCAAATATCTTTCCTAACACATACTTAATGGTTTTTAACGTATTTACAGATCTGTGAAAATTTCTACTTATCATCAACCATGTCTCCCTCTCATATTTTCTCCGTTCCAACTCTCTTTTTTCTCACCGTAGATCATCAATTGATTAACAGTTCGGTGGAGTTCACTTTTTGAACATTGTAAGCCAAGGTGCTGTGAACATGTGTAAGTGTAAAACCTTTTGAAGGTTTTAGTTTCTCTTGGGTCTATCAGGAAAGGAGTTGGTTGTTGGATTCAGGGTACTGCCATGTCTGGCATTTGGAAGAATTGTTTTCAATTATTTTGTCAGTGGTGGGCCATTCATTTTTCCTTCAGAGATCGCCGAAGATCCCCTTCCACTGCATCCTTGGGAGCGTTAAGTGGTATTTCAGTTTTAATTTTTCCTTTGCATTTCCAAATGGCTAATGATCCTTGAGTTTTTGGTCTGGTCCTGAACAATTTTCAGATTGTTCGAACAGTCTCAGATGTTCTCCCTGGGCATCCTTGCGGAGCAGTGTCCCCGCGGGGGCGGGCTCGGGCTGCAGGTGCCGTTTGCGGCTTAGTCTTCCAATGCCCGTGCCAGACGGTGCAGGCCGGTGCTGGACCACGGTGCTTGAGCCGCCTGGATCTTGCAGTGTGTGGGACCCAGAAGGGGCCATCACCCACCGCATATGGAGCTGAGTGCTTTGGCTCGCCCGAAGGCAGAGGGCGCTGGAGAGATCATAACGGTCCACAGGAAAACCCAGTACCCGAAGGTGTTTCCAACTGGCATAACGAAGTTGGGCAGTCCCCGAAAAAAGGGGCGACACAAGCCTCGGGCCCCCAAGAAACCCCGAGTGGTCAAAGAGAAGAGCCAGGATGGGGAGCCTTGCGGCCTGGGCTGTCTTGTGTTTCCCTGCTTTCAGCGTTTTAACAGCATTGGTTGCTTCATGGTTGTCTACTGTATCCTTGTGGTGGCTCAAGGTGGGTCTTGCCGGGCAGTACCAATGGGTGGGCCACGGTGGGCAGGTCTTGTATGGATAGGAAGTTTGGGGTCTCTGATCTTAAGCTGAGGGCCTCATATCAAAACGGTTGACGCTTGACACCTTCAGGTTGTGCTCCTGGGCCACCCCAGTGTCACAGCCCCTTTACCACTTTGTGGGCCACGGAGTTTGTTCTACGCATGCCTGGTTTCGTTGAAGGACTGTTGGGTCATTTCACATTGGGAGCCAGCAAAAGGGCTGTATGTGATTAAACACACACACACACACACACACACCAAAACAAACAAAAACCATGTGAGAAGATGAATACATCATCGATCATTTGAGATTCCCGAAGAAATATCTTGGAGCAAGAGATAATTGAATGAAATCTTGATGGCTTGCTGTGGTGCTGAGGGCCGGGTATTTGGTGAATATTGAAAGTCTGTAAGCCTATTTTGTTTCGGAAGGTTTCTTTTACACATAAGATAATTATGGGTAGATGATGACCAAAACGGATGATAAGCTTTTCTGGTCACGTTTTTACATGTGTAAATTGTATGTTGTGACTAGAGCTCTTGCTCTGATCGTCAGCAATAATTCTTTCTAGATCCTATCTGCACCAGTGTTAGTGAAACTTGCTTTTCAGCAAGAGTGTGAACAGCCTTCCTGGATAGAAAGAATGATGTGGCTCAATTACCTAATTTCCTAATTCTGAGTGGCTGGGCAAGTATTTAGTGCTGCTGGTTCTGCTACTTCCTTGGTGTGTCAAGTGGATTTACTGTATCCTGTGCTGCCTATGGATGAAGTTTGTTGGGTCAGTGAATCCTCAACAGTGAAGTTAGAGCCTCATAGAATAGTTCAAGAACTCTTGTAGCTTTGACGTTTTTGTTTATTGAGTAGGACACATTACTGCCATTGATTATTTGTTCATGCTTTGTATTTCCAATAAACTCTTTTTTATCACAGCGGTTTAAAAAGTGGCGTGAAAATTGAAGGCTTGCGCATTGTCAACATTTGCTGTTAATCCAAGAGTCATCCACAGTGATGTTACTGACCACGTGGAAATCAGAAGATCTCTATCTTTTCTTTTTAATTAGTAATTCTTTTAGAAGACTGTGGCTGAAAAGGATGATTCAATACATATAGCCACAGTAGGTTTATCTATAAGATATTTTTACGAAGTGTAACATTTCATTTAGCTCCAGGAACTAGTTAAGCCTAGAATGGTAGGCACTCACTTTAAATTTCAAGTTTCTACATCTGTAGATGAAAATTAAAGTGATAGTTATCAGCCAAATATCCAAATTAGTAACAGCACATTTCTTTCAAACTGTGGAACAATGTCATTCACCAGAGACTTCATCTAGAAAGTCAACTACTTCCACATTGATTTGCTTCTCACACAATTAAAAAGTCTTTGGAATTTAATTCTACTGAAGGTGATTGCATGGTATTGTAAGTACTGATACAGATTGTATTTAAATTTCACCTTTGAAGGTAAAGAAAAAATTTTTTGGTGCAGTGGTAATAAATTTTGGTGTACATTGTTCTGGTAAAGACATAGAAACGAGAAATTTATGAAGCAGAAGTTTGCTTATAATTTGTACAGAAGTAATTCATTATTTTTTTTTCCTAAGAAATGATGATATTTTCAACAAAAATTGCAAATGCCGATTCATATTCATCACTCTACCTTATTGATATGCATTGCCTCTTCTTTTGCTCAGGGTACAGTATATTTTATGAAGGTTAGATCTTTGAATAACCATTGCATGAGTCAAGTTCTAAATCCTGTAATGATATTGAACTCCATTGTACATAAGGTCTCTACATTTTGCTTGTGTTTTCATGCAAAAATCTTTTAGAGATTTATAATATTCTGTAGAGTGACAACCTTCATTCTCAAATTTTAGAAGTTTTTTGTTAAATTGCAATTAATGGAAAGAAGCTTATAAATGAAACGAAAAATTTTTCCTTCAAATTGAATCAGGAAATGAACAAATTAAATTATGAAAGTTCAGGGAGAATTCAATATTTATTTTACAAATCCTTAAATTGTACTTCGGAAAAAATGTCTGTTTTAAGGAATAATCTTTGGGTAGTGTCCTTATTCTTATCTGAATAAATTTATTGCTTCTAAGTTTTGGATGAGTTTAAGTAGACCTGTATTGGTGTAGAGTTAAATTGACACATTCAAAGTAATATACATAGAGACAACTTAGTTGAAGACTTTTTGTCATATGAAATATTTACCAAAGAAATATCAAATGGAATATTTGAGTTGAAATATTTCAGAAAAGAAATATAATTGACAACAACCAGGAACTCCTAGCCTTACTGAAAATTGTGACCTGCGGAAGACACCGCCTAATACCTAGGCTAGCAAAAACAATCCATGTGTTTGGAATGTGATCATATAGGATTAGGGATACATTTTGACATTGTAACGTACGTAGGTTAGCTGGGATCAGGAGGTAGAAAGAAGGGGTGAGTAATGGAATAAGGAAGTGTTAAATATTGTCTGTGGTTTCATAACTGTTTTGAGAAACTACATTTGCAGCCACTATGTATTTCCTCTTACGTATTTATGTGTATGTGTGTAAACGAGTATTCACATTTGTTGTGTGCATATATGGTTATGTCTGTATGTACAGTCATGCACACAGATGTAACCTCCAGAGCCTCCTTCTGGGTCACTGTTTGCACAAGGACTAGCATTTTCTAAGCCACATTTTCCTTAGTTTGTTGAGTTTGTTGCCTACTGACATTGAGCTGGCTTTCACGTAGACATTGCTGATGAGGCCGGCGGTGAATTTGAAAAAGGGTGAGAGGAACCCTCTTAATATCCCTGTCTCCCTCTTAGTGGTTATTCCTGGGAGCAAGAGCAGTGCAGGTAGTTGAAGAGTCAAGACCAAATGTGGTTCCATTGGCAGCATGGCGCTCCTGGAATCTGACTGCAAGAGCAGCAGAAGCAGCCAATGACTGGCTGTCAGAATATGAAGGCATTGACAGGCTATAGGTTTCCTGCAAAAACAGGTAGGGCTTACCTTTCCAACAACAGTGGGAGGCAATGACCCAGCAACTTTGGTTTGCAGATAATAATATCTTATGACTAATAATTGCTTTATACCATTTCAGACAAGCAATCAATTTATTTTGTTCAAACACTTCAAATGGTTATTTTTCTTTCCTGCTTGGGTGCTGAGAGTTAGGAATGTATATAGTATGATGCATTAATTTAACATATAAGGTGATGAAAATTGTTGCTATTCTTTATGGCTATTGTTTATTGCATTTAAAATGTTAAAAACAGAAATGGAAAATTTTAAATGCAGGATACTGGTTATGGAGGGGAAAGAGAATGTGTTGGGTTTCAAGTATTTTTGTGTTTTATTTTCAATTTTAGGTAACAAATAAAGATTTGATGTATCATTTATTAATTTTTTATAATTGAAATTATATTTTGTTGTCACCTCAATGCTCAGTGAAGTGACATTATACAATGGCATTTTTGAGGAACTTTGTTATAGAGAGAGTGAAAAATTACTTTAAATTTGAACTATCAAAACTTCATAGAGGTCCAGTGTTTCTAGGATTTTAGAAAGGGAATTATTGTGTGCTTATAGGTTTTTAGCCTTAATAATAGGCTAGAAGAGTCATAAATCAATGTAAAGTCTGCTTTTAATATCTGTAATGGTGATCTTAAATGTACATGACCTTATTTTGCTTCTTTTTACACTACAGGTATTGTATTTGGTCTCGTAGATCTGAGCAGTAGCAACTTTGAGAGGAATTATAAACTGAGCACTTTTGAGTGGATCGCATTGATATCCAGCTATGATGTATCATCTTGCCTGGTAGCAATATTAATATCCTACTATGGAGGGAAAGGGGACAGAAAGAAATGGACTGCATTTTCCTCCTTCTGGGTTGGATTTGGATCAATTATACTTGGTCTTCCACACTTACGTGGTGAAAATAATAAATCGAAGCTAGAAGTTGAAGGTGAGATTGAAAATATATTGTAAGCCTTGATACTTTTATAACAATTGCACTATGCTAATGCTGATGAGGGATCAGCAGCCACTGTGATGGGTTTTGTTGTGCACCTGTTCCAAATTGTGATAGTAAGGAAGGTGCAATTATTTATTTTTTTTTATTTTTTTTTTTTACTTATTTACTTTTTACCAATGGAGAACCTGCATGGAGGGTCTTGTCAGTTACCTGCTTCCTGACTCCATCAGACCCACCAGGTTGTTACAGAATTATTATTATCAAGTAATCAACTAATTAGTGATACTTAATGTTATGTGTTTATGTGTTGTATTTCTTCAACTATCACCAATATTTTGTAATATTGACCACTTCCTCCTTCTCAAAACTCTCTGCTCTCTTGGTTGCTATTTTTAGTGATCTTTTATAGCCCATAAGAATCATTTTTTAAATGGCACAAAGTTTTATCCTATTAGTGGAAAACATTTTTTGGAACGTTGACCAATAGGCTATTCAGTACTGTGAGCCCTAGTGGAAGGGAAACAAAGGAATATTCTATGAGAAGGCAGTGTACATAGGCTGGGGACACACTCCATTGTTATCAGGAGCAAGGAGGATTTCCTTAGCGTTATCAGCCATGTGTTTAAGTTGAGATGTACATGACTGTACACTTTTATCCAGCCACATTCAACTCGAAAAGTGTAGGTGCAGAATAGTGGGAAGAGTTGATTGCATTGGTTTACATTTTTACCCAGTGACAATGTGGGAATTCAAAGTGTTAGGATCACAAGTGACATAAAGAATGATGAGGGCCCTGGGATACTGAGGAGGGGGACAATCTGGGGATTGTAGATCCTGGTTAGCTGAGAGACTTGTAGGAATTGTACTACTACAGGTAATGTCCTTAGAATGTGGTTTTAAAAGCCAAGTGTCTGATAAACTATATTGTATACATGTTGTCTATTAGATTTCAATCCGATTAACAATGTAATTATCTTTTTTTTTTTAAAGATATTTGTGACATGAAGAAGGTCATTGACACCTGCCCCAGAAGTGTCTCGTTTTTTCAATCAAGATACGTGTCTTTATTCATCATCGGGCAAAGCATCCAGGGGATTGCAGCAATGCCTCTGTACATCCTTGCAGTAACCTTTCTTTATGACAGTGTCTCCCTGCACTCATCTGGTATCTATTTAGGCAAGTGTTTGCTTCGCCTGCTATAGGATCGGGTTTTCATTGACTTTTGTGCTTCGGTGTGCTTGACTAGAATTGCAGTCTATTAACCTTTATGGTGACAGTGTGTCTTTTGTGTGTAAGCTAATAGAAGACATGATCATGTTCGTCCTATCAAGGACAGAAATGAGATGCTGTTTAATTGAATACAGTACATTAGTCCCTGCTAACAATGTCTTTTGCTACTGTATGCCCCAATAGGTAACTGTGTACATTTTAGAATAACGTGTGACTTTTGTGTAATAGATTCTAGCCCTGGTAGGTCATCTATTTGTAGAGAGCTATGTAACTATGATTTTTTTTTTTTGAAAGAAAGTCAGAAGTAAAGAGATGTTAGAAGGAAAGAGATTGTTCTTCCACCTGCTACTTCACTCCCCAGATGGCTGCAACAGCCAAGGCTGGGCCTGGCCAAAATCAGGAGCCAGGAGCTTCATCCATGTCTCCCATGTCAGCGGTAGGGGTCCAAATGCTTGGGCCATGTTCCATTGCTTTTCCTACATTATTAATAGGAAGCATGGCAGGATGGAGGAGCTGGGGCACTAACTGGCATCCATAAAGGGTGCCAGTGTCACAAGCAGCAGCTTGACTTGCTTTGCCACAATGTCAGCCTCATATGACTTTTGAAAGCAAAGCATGAAGTTGTGTCTACACGGAAGTGAAGTAAAAAATAAAATTTTGCAATAAAAGAATTTTCCAACAGAGATAAGAAAAGTGATGTTCATATTGATGTAGATAATCCATTTTTGCTTTATTTTCCTTTTGGTTCTATTCAATGGCAATAAAAACTGAAAACTACCCACTGTTGGGAGACAGTTACTGCATTGCCATTTCTGGCAGTCCTTGCAGCTAGGATGCAGATGCCAATGACAAGATTTCATCTTGCTATGGTGCCACACACTAAAGTGGAACAGGAGACAGGGTATTAACATCCATACTAAAACAAATAAGGTGCCATGAGTTATGTAACTATATTATCTGAATCTTCAAAATGCATGCATTGGATAACATGTTGATTAGCTTTACTTGTCAGCTTGGCTACATTGTGATACCAAATATTTGGTCAAATATTAATCTAGGTGTTTCTGTGATAATATTTTAAAAATATGGTTAACACAATGGGTAACTTTAAAAAGATTATTTATTTGAGAGGCAGAGTTACAGTCAGTGAGAGACACTAACACAGAGAGATTTTCCATTTGCAAGTTCAATCCCCAGATAGCCATAATGATCGCAGCTGGTTCAAGCTGAATCCAGGATCCATGGGCTTGATCTGGGTTTTCCATTTGGGCAGAAATGGTCAAAAGCAATGCTCTACTGCTTTCCATGATTCAAGCAGGGAGCTGAATCGGAAGTGGAGCCCCTGAAACACAAACAGGTGTTCATATGGGATACCAGTTTCAGAGCAAGCTGCTCAATGTGCAACTTGACAGCGCTGGCCTCATGCGAGGTAGATATGTTAATATAATGTGTGCATTCCATAATGTGAATGGGCTTTATCCAATCAACTGGTTGGCCCAGTAAGCAGAAGACTGAACTTTTTAAAAACATAAGCCAGTTCTGTCTTGAGACTGGGACATTAATTATTATCATTATTTAAATTTCTGGCCCACTGTCCTACACATTTGGGAGTTATTCGATCTTGTCATTATATAAACCAATTGTCTAAATGAAATATTTGCCTCTCTGCTTTCTCATACACACATACAGACACTCTACACATACCTCTGATGGGCTGTCTTCCTTTGGAGACGTCTGCTAATGGTTATATGGGGCATGGAGTAGGCATGGTACATAAACTACAGCTTGCAGTACCTACATACTTAATCCCAGTCCCTGGAACTGAGTTCTCTCTCCCTCTTGATTTTTGCTCCGTCTTCCTGCTGATGTGCTGGGAGACAGCCAATGAGAGTTCTCAAGTGCTTCTGTTTCTGAAACCCACCAATGCTGATGTCCACATTTCAGCGTGGTTCTCTTCCACTGTTGCAGGTTTTTGGGAAGTGAATTGAAGAGTAGAAAATTTCTCTCTGTCTCTCCCACTGTATTACATGGCTGCGTACATAAATAAATACTTTTTTAAAAAAGAATGTTATGAGAAACATTCAGTAGTTTGTCATTTAATTTTAAGACAGAGCCTGTCTGAAAGTTGCTTGATGTTCAGAGCTCACTTTGCAGGTTTCGGGGGCGCTGCTCTAATATTAGGATATGCCTGTGGTGTTGCAATGGGAGCCCCATTAGTTAAGACTGCTGAGAATACTACTTTTGGCAGGCGGTAAGCCATTTTCCTTTCCTTTTCTTTGTTGATGTTCTGTGAAATATTTAGTGACTCTGCAACATAGCCTACAAATGCATATTTGCATGTCAAATCTGTAACATTCATATTTTAGAAAAATACATGAAAGTGGGATCAATATGCACATATGTTTATATAAATTAGAAAGAGTGCAGTTTCAGTTTTGTGGGATGATAAAGGATTGAGGTAAACAGCATGTGTGTGTGCATGAAAGATACTTCTTTGAAAGTGGCCAAGATGGCACATTGCATCTTATTTCATATAAAAAGCATTATGAAGAGCTGAAGAGTTAGTGGTAAGATGTTCATATTGCATTTCAAGTAAAAATGGTATAAACATATTTTCATGTATTTAAAAGAGCACATATGCATCATGAGACATAGAGGGTTACTTGGGTGGAGGGGTAGGTGTTTTACTGCCTGGAACCAATGGGCCTCCATCCCCTCACGGGGAACTCTTAAGGACTACAGGGCCACAAGGCTTTGGGCCATCCTCGACTGCTTTCCCAGGCCACCAGCAGGGAGCTGGATAGGAAGTGGAGACTCTGGGACATGAACATGTGCCACTATGGGATCCCAGCACTTGTAAAGCGAGGACTTTAACCACTAGGTTACTGTTCCATACCTATACAAAATTTTAAACTTTTGTAAGGTCATATATGTCAGTAACTTTTTGTTTTGTAAAACTTTAGTTCACTGTATTACTAGAGAAGATGCCAGTACAGAAGCCCATATCCTCTAGGAGTGTCAGGGTTCCCTATGAGGCTCTGCTTTCCCATTCCAGCTCTGGCCCATTTGTACTCTGGGACAGAGAACATGTCACCTGCTAGTTTACCTCCCAAAAGGCCACAATGGCTGGAGCTCAGCCAGCTCCAACCTGGAGTCAGGGTTCTCTTCTGGGTCTCCCAGGTGGATGGAGGGACCCATGCATTTGGGCCATCCTCTTCTGCTTTCTCAGGCCATCAGTAGGAAGACTGCATGGGAAGGGGAAGGCCGGGATGTGAACCATATGCTACACCAGAGCTGCAGGTGACAGCCTAACCTGCTATGTCACAGTTCCAGACTCAGTTTATAGTTTTTTAAGTTAATTTCTATGGGTCATCATGATATGCAATGAATTATACCTATGTAAAAATCATATCATAAGTAATAACATAAAGCATATAGTCAGAATACATAGCTGGGTTTGACAGTGAAAGAAAGAAACAAAATCTTTAACATACCGTAGTTTAGAAAGGCATTTATAGTTCCAGTGACAAATCTTGAGTTAATTCCTGGGTGCAGCTGTGTCCCAGCATTTATGGCAAGAAGATAATGTAAATCAAGATTGCAACACTATGTCATTGTAATATGCAGTCTTCACATTGAATCAAAGAGATTGGATTCCTTGGTTATCAATAGATCCCTTGTGAAGAAAGAAGACAGAGAAGTTAATAAACAGTCCTAACAGTAATTTGGGTGTAAGCTCAGTAATCAATTGAAGGCTGAATCCACACAAAAGCTGAGAATTCCAAGCAAGGGTTGCAAAAAGGCATCTCAAGAGTATGTAATCTAAAGGATCAAATGCAATGGAAAAGAGCACTTGTGGAATTTAGAGGGCTGGGTTTGCCCTTAAGGCCTGGGTGCTTCAACTAGAGAGGCAGGATTAATTGGCCGATGGATTGATTGATGGTGATAAGGGAGAAATCCCATCTACTGGTTCATTCCCTAAATGCCTGCAACAGCCAAGCCAGCACTAAAATGAGGAGCTTGGTTAAGTTCAGTCCAGGCAGGAATGGTGTTAAAGGGAGGGGTAAAGCGATAGTCTTTCAAATACACAACTTCTGGTAGGAAAAAAAAAAAAATAGCAGGGAAAAAAAAAAAAAGGATGCTTTGTTATCACTGTGGTACCAGGGACAAGAAGGCAAGGGGAAAGATTTAGTTTCCAGCATGACAAAAAAGAAACGTCTAGTTGGTGGAATATTTGGAGAACTGATTGCTGCTCTATCAAGAAAATGAACATGGTGGCCAATCTGGAGATGAAGCTTCCTTTCTCTCTCTCTCTCTCTCCCTCTCTCTCTCTCTTCTCTGCTTGATTAAGGCTGGTCTTTTCAAGGTGCCCAAAGCTGAAATTTGACATCATTTTCTATTAAAGCATTAGCGACGGTGGTGATAGTCAACGGTTGCCGTGGAATTGGTGGAGTAGTTTTCTTTTCGCCTCTCTACTTGCATGGTCTACGTTAATACCATTGTTGTGCTTCCCACGTAATATAGCAGGTGACTATAAAAATCTAATGATTAAGTTGAAAAATCACTTCGTTTCCCCAAATGACTCCCTCAACTCCCATCTTCAGTTCATGAGTTGGCTACATTTCTTTGTGCATATGCCACTTCCATACACAGTGGACTGTCATGGACAGTGCTCCCAAGTATTTTGCTATCTCATTAGTACGTGTATTTGATTCTCATTACTTCCTCTTGAAATACTTTTGCGTACATAAGATATGTTTTTAAAAATGAAGTATTTTAAAATCTATTTCATCAGCATCATTTCATAAATGCAAACTCCTTCAACATGGAAGAGGAAAATCATCAACATCAAAATGTTCCTGGTACCACAAAAACACATATCAAGTACAAGAGATCCAACAATATATTTTGTTGTTCTAAAATATTTTGGGCCATATGAAGGATGATATTTTTACTACCCAGGTTTGCTTTGTCAAACATGTCATTACCCTGATTTTAAGGTAAAACAAATTAGAGATTCCTTCCTTTGGTCATAGGAGCTGTGTTTCAGAAACACTGCAGCTATATGCAGCTCAGCCGGTGCTGCAGGATTGGATGGGGCAGCTGTAGATATCTTTATTCCCATGCATTGTTCTCGAAGACAAGACTGCAAGAGTATGCCTTTAAATTAGCTGGATTGATCTTCGTATTTTCCAAACTGAGTCAGGAATAGTGTGTGTATTGAGGCTGTTTGTGTTTTATGTATGTCTTGACATTTTTGAACATGTCATAATTTTTTTTAATTATTAATATGTAGGCACAGCCAAAGAAAAAACTGAAAACCATGAACAGTCTTATATACTTGACAATCTTGAAGATCAGGAATTTGGAACTAGTATCAAGGATTTGTGTGCTGCTCTTTGGGTAAAGTAACATATTTTATGTGAATAACCTGAGTTAATTGCAGAGTTTTGTAAGTGTACCTGAGGAAGTGATTATGAAGTGGTAACCTTAAACCTCTAACTAGCTTACACTTCTTCCAGAAAGTTCAGGAACAGCATCTAGCAGACTTAAATAACATTGCCAAGGACTTAGCTAGTGTTATAGAAAAAACATTTGGTTAGTTTCTTCATATTTCTTCTGCTTTAATTTTTAAAAATATTTTGCTCTTGTTTCTCCCCTATACAAATAAGTAAAGCATTTAATCAGACAAAATGAAAACAAAAATCCACATTGTCTTTTTTCCTATTTAAATGACTTTGAAGAGACTTCTAGAAGTCAAAAAAAAAATATTCCCACAAACATCACTTATCATGGGAAATATCTTAGTGTCAAATGGAGATGAGCTCTTTGTTTCTCTAGATAGGAAACAAGGTCTGTACTACTGATACTGTGGAGCAAAAAAGAAAGCCAAAACAAAAAGGAAACGAAATAAAAAACTACGAGAAACTGAGATAGTTGTGCCACTCCCAGTGTATTTTCTCCTGCTCAGAACTTTATGCTGCTACCGAATTGCAATTTTAACTGATTTAATGGGAAAAAAAACATGGTGGATTTACAGTATGCAAATTTTGGCAACAAGAAGAGGCAGTAGATATATATGCAGATTATGGTTATATATAGCTAGGAGTAAGCTCAAATGCTGTAAAAAGAAAATGTAATTAGGATGATATCAACATATTTAGCACTAAATATTTTTAAGAGATGTAAACAGCCAATGAAGTCAGTTTAAAAGAATTTTAATTTACTGTAATGTGAATCAGTATGTATCGTAAAATAGTGTAATCAATGTGATTAATCATATCACCATAAACTTCATAATAAATTTGACAGATCTGCACAAAAATGCATACATTAAATAACTTTATCCTTTGTTAGTAGGAGGAGGTCTGAAGTGGAATCCTAGTGATTTTCTTTGATGCTGCTAAAATTTTGTGTATTTTCTGTTTCAATTGAAAGAAAGGTCTTGCTAAAAAAGTAAATAAGCAAAAGGGAATTTCACAGATTTACCAAAAGTTATAGATGATATAGACAACAAATTAAAACAGAAATGGTCAGATAATATCTAAGTTACAAGGAAAATACATATTGGGAGATTTATGCTTGTATAGATATAAATTGTATATTTCTGTTTGGATGATATATATAAATATATATAGTCTTTATTCAGTTCAGTTTGGGAAAGATCAATTTTTGTAGATTGATCACTAATATATAAAGTTGTATTTCTCTTGACTTAACCAAGATTTATTAATATATAACATTTCCGTTTTAGATTCTGATGAAGAATCGAGTATTCATTTTTCTATGTCTGTCTAAAGCATCCGAATCTTTAGTTTCTATTGGGGCATCTGTATTTGTACCTATATATCTAGAACATCAATTTGTATTAACACCCAACACGGCAAATATGATTGCAGGTAAACTTAATTCTTTTTTTTTTTTTAAGATTCATTTTGTTTTTATTGGAGAGGCATATTTAAAGAGGGAATCAGAGACAAAGAGAAATGTCTTCTGTCCACTGATTCACTCCCAAAGTGGCTGCAATGGCCAATGCTGAGCTGATCTGAAGCCAGGAGCCAGGACGTTCTTGTATGTTTCCCATGTGGGTGCAGGGTCCCAAGGCTTTGGGCCATGCTTGACTGCTTTCCCAAGCAACAAGCAGGGAGCTGGAAGGGAAGTGAAGCTGCTGGGTACAAACTAGCACCCATATGGGATCCTGGCACATGCAAGGCAAGGATTTAGCCAGTAGGCCATCGCAACTGGTCCTTTACTTATAATCTTACTGCAGAAGTTTGTATAACATTTTCATTCATTTAGATATTCATATATTACTGACAACTTTGTGATTGAAATATAATTAACATTTTTTAGTAGAATCCTATATGTTTGGGCACAGTTTTAATTATTGTTTAAATCTATGTACTTTTAATACTAATAACCATGTTTTTACTTGAACTTTGAATTTTTCAGAAAAGATTTCTGCTTTTTGTTCTTGTCTCCTGGTTTAAGTCAATGATTGTTGATATTTAATAATACCTAAACTTTCCATATTGTTAATATGGTTGTAAGATAAGTCTCTTTTGAAAAAAGCTAAATTAAAATATTGTATTTACAAACTTTAGCTTTCTCCTGGAAATCTGGCTGCTTGTATAATTTGTTTTATACAATGCCAGTGGTTATAAATATATTCATCACCTACATGCTTACTGTATTTCTTTTTTACTGCTTTATTTTCAAAGTTTTGTTTGTTCAAAATATAGTTTTATAAAATGACCATTGTTGTGAATTCTTATATTTTAAGATAGCTTATAATTTTTGTTACTTTCTTTTTTCTCTCTATTACCATGCCATCTTTTAGTTACTTTTCCACCATTACGGGTTTACGAAATTTTATCAGCTTTCTAATAGTTCACCGTGCTCATTCTTTAGTACCTCTGTCTCTTCTTTTGCTCTTGGTCATTTTACTGGTTAGCAGATTCTTCTCCTTAGGGCGTGTGTCTAAGTTGTGTCACACACAGGTCTGTAATTCAATTTTACTAATTGCATTTGGTACCGGTTCTTTATTTGCAGTCACTTGTGCCATTCTCTCCAGTGAGTTTCTGCTCTGGGCTCTTGTGTTAGACTTCTACCATCATCTCTGTAGCTCCAGCTCCTGGCTCACCACTCTCCACTTCCTGTGATTCTGTGCTGAGGCAGTACTGCTATCTGTATGACCTTCTCGCACTTCTTGTTTCAGCAGTTCTCAAGTTTAGGGAAACAGAAGGTGTCCTAAATAACAAGGTTGTTGTTAGTGCCAATCTTTCTGGAACCTGCTGGCCATTAGGTCTGAGAGCCACCTGGATCTATTTTGACCTGTAGAATGCCAAAGTTGTATTATTTTCCCAATGGGATTAGTGCAATGCACTGAGCTGGAAGTGAGTTTGTTCCAAGTTCAGTGTATGCACAGGTTACTGTTGTTCCTCGAACCTCAGCCTTTGCCATACCATACACAATGGCACCGAATGTGATATTTGTCATGTTCTGGATTTTCTGGTTGTTATGTCTAGGGGCTACCAGACTTATTTTGGGTGGAACCTGTAGGATGGGCGATCAGTGCAATGCACTGAACCAGAAATGAGTTTGCTCTCAGCTTAGTGCTTGCGTAGTCCTGTCCCACAACCTTTGCCTCTATACTCAAAATGTTGCCAGACATGGTTGTGGTGGTGTCTGGGCTGTGAGACTCACACTGCCTGTTTGGAATCTGCTGCTCTGTCTCTGTTCCTGGTAGGATCAAAGAAATCAGCAGGGCTGGCAGTTCTTTGCCTGGGTTCACCTGTTGAGCTCTTGGTCAGCTCTCCTTCCAGGTTTCTGGTAGAGCTATGGTGTCGCGCCCACGTTTCTTATCGTCCGGCGATAAGAGGCAGACGCGAGTGAAGTCTTCTGCGGTAATCTTTATTGCACGCACGAAGATGAGGAGGGAAAGGCTCAGATCCCGGCAGGCTGTCTGCTCTTATGTGCTGACTGGCCCCGCCTCCGCCGATGATAGGTCGGCGTCATGATTACGCAGGGTCCTGGGCGACTGGATTCGTCAGTCCCAGTGTTCATGCGCCGGCCACGCCTCAGCTCACTGCACATGCGCTAGGCGCCTGCGCAGTACCACGAAAGCTACGTCACCAGGAACCAAGGTGTGGCTTTTCCGGCCGGCGCCATTTTGGGTACGGCATGTAGCTAGTACATGCAGATGCGGCTGGCAACACTATGGCCACCAGGAGAGCTCAGATCACTGCTCACTGACTGCCACTGGTCACTGCAACACCACATATTTGTCTCTGCTGCTTTGCCATGTGTACCAGTCTTTAGGTGTCCCTCTGCTACCATCCTATCCTCTCCTATTTCCTGGATTATGCTCTCTCTGCTTCACCTGGACTAATGATTTTCTGTCTGTTTAAATGTGTCCTTATCCTGCTCTGCCATCTTGATTCTCAGCAGTTACATTTTTAAAAATTTAATATCTGGGCTTCTTATTCATTATTTCTTCCTTCACCTGTTTTATTTCTTCGTCATTACTTTTCTACTCTTTATTTTCACGCACATTTGAACTTTACATCATATGTTTTTGAGCATTCCGAAATTGCTTATTTTTATTTTTAGGTTTTTGTCCAGTGTTCTGTGATATAATTAATTGAAATGGGAGTTATTGGAATTGCTTTTGCTTTAGTCTTATATTTCTCTTGTTATATTCCTGTGCGAATCTATCATAGCTATAATTTGTAGGGAAGAAGAGATCTTGTCAGTGTGTGAATTTATTGTGCTATCTTCATCTGATTAGTGTGTCACTGTATTTTCCCTCCCTCTGCCCCTTTTTCTTCTTGCGATTCACAGAACCAGTGGCTTGTTCACGTGTCTGTAATTCTTGTGGCCATCATCATGCCTCTATAGTAAGCCTTGAAGCCAGACAGCTTGCTCATAACAGCTCTCATTAAGACTGCCCCCAGGTTTTGTTTTGCTTGGAATAAGTTTCTGGTTTCTCTTAGGTGCCATTATTGTATGGTAGCAAAACTTCACTCTCACTGCCCTGAAGTGCAACAAGTGTACAGCTATGGCTTCATCCATTCGTAGGTTTGTGTTTCATAAGTGTATTGTGGAATTTATTTTGTGATTAAAGTTTTCTCCTTTTCCTCTAGTTTATATCTTAGTTCGTTGTATGTTGAGAGCATTGGTGCTTGATTTTATATAGGAGTATTCTGTACTGTAAGTTGATTTTTTTTTCTTTCCTCTAGGATTTATTTTGCTTCCAGGAGGTGCTCTTGGTCAACTCCTTGGAGGTGTTATTGCTTCCAAGTTGGAAATGTCCTGCAAAGCCCTGATGAGATTTGTGATGGTCACATCTTCTGTATCGATCGTAACGCTTGTGGTTTTAACCTTTATACACTGTGATCCAGTGAAGTTTGCAGGAATCAATGAAGATTATGATGGGTAAATGTAAACTTGTATGTCCGGTTTTTACTTAAGAACCCAATGACATAAGTGTTCATCTAATAATCTTTGCGTGTTCTTTTTATTCTCGGAATTACAGGTGTATGAAAGGTACACAAAGAGCACAATTTCATCTTTCACACCAAAGGCATGGATGTTATAATGTTATCATGCGATATGACTGCACACACATTCGGAAAGTAACAAAGGGAAAGAAACAGCAGGCATTTGGGATTCCTGCTTCCCATACTACAGACTTGAGTCTTGCTTTGGCTCTCACTTTCAGATTCTTGCTAATGCACAGTCTGGGAGGCTCCAGTGGGTTTGTCCCATGCTTACCACCTACATGGGAGAGTCAGTGGAGCTGACCGCTTTCCACTTTGGCCTATCTCAGCCCCACCTCTTACAGTTCTTAGAAGAGTGAACCAATGGAAGTTAGATCTGTCTGCCCTTTGTGTGTTTTCTGTCTTCCTCTAGCTGCCTTTAAAATACATAAAAACAAATAAATGAAACATTTAAAAACTCACTGAGATGTTTTATAACTTAAATGCAAAATTATATATTACAACAAGTGGTCCTAGGAGAAGCTGTACAAAGTTAGTGTTACTCAAGTTTCCTGAGTTGGTTGTCTGCCTTTTTTGGCCTTGAGAGAATATATACTGCTATTAACACCTAAGCATTCTTAGGGTATCCTCTCTTTTTTGAGTTAAATATGTAAAAATTCAAAGAACTTGGCAAAGAAAGATATTAAATGTGAAAGAATAGGTCCATCACGGTGGCCTAGCAGCTAAAAGTCCTCGCCTTGAACGCGCCGGGATCCCATATGGGCACTGGTTCTAATCCTGGCAGCTCCACTTTCCATCCAGCTCCCTGCTTGTGGCCTGGGAGGCAATTGAGGATGGCCCAAAGCCTTGGGACCCTGCACCCACGTGGGAGACCTGGAGGAAGTTCCTGGATCCTGGAAGAAGAAGTTTCTGGATCTGGAAGAAGACATAGAGTCTCACTTTCAGCACATAGTCCCCGAGGTCCTTACTAGAAAAGTTAAGCAAAAGAAGGAAACAAAGAGAATCCAAATCGGAAAGTAGGAACTCAAATGGTCACTGGTTATACATGACATAATCATGTTACACACACAAAGAGAATATGTACCAAAAGTGAATTATCATGAATAGAAACCAAGAAAGGAACCCAGCCTCCAATAACTACACAAGAAATCTGGGAGTGTATTTAAGGAGATCTCTCAAGATCTCTGCAATAAAAGCTACAAATAATTGATGAAAGAAATTGAAGAGGCTGTTAAAAAATGAAGCCCTTTTATGCTGATAAAGAGTCAACATTGCTAAAATATATATTACACTGAAAGCAATTTGCGTATTTATCGCTTTCCTTTTAAAATTGTAAAAGTTTTTGTTTGCTCCACAGGATGAGAAAAAAACACAGCTGAAAAAAATTAATTTGAACTAAGAAAGATGCATAAGAGTAATAGAAACCTTTAGAAGTAACAGTGTGGAAGACATTTATATGATCTGATTGAAAGACCAAATCAAAAGAAAGAATCTGTGTAAAGCATGCACACCTTATCATCCCAGTTTACAGAATGTTAGGCAATTACAACTGACAACCAGCTGCAGAAAGTCAATCACTAAACATCAGAGGGAAATTACAAAGAGGCACAAGGAAACTTTTGGGGTTGATGATTATGTTCAGTAACATGACTATTCTATGGTGGTGTTTTCACAAATCTACGCATATAGAAAAAGGATTTAAATTGTACACTATCTGTACAATTTTGTGTGTACATTAAACCCAGTGAAACTGTGAGCAGGGCATTTCAATTGACACATTTTACTGATATATTAATACACAAATTCTAATTATGGGACAATGGTGTTCTAACTACATTCTGTCTTGCTGTTGCAGAACGGGGAAGTTGGGCGACCTCAGAGCGCCTTGCAACAGTCACTGTAAATGCTCAACTGCACTTTACCACTCCGTGTGTGGAAGGGATAATGTGGAATATTTTTCTCCCTGCTTCGCAGGTTGCACAACTTCTAAATACTTAAAGAAAAAAAAAGTAATTAAAATTTTTTATGCTCCTTCCTCTCCAATATGTTGTTCAACTTACAAACGTTGTATACATTTTCTTTCCAACTCTCTATAAAAATGTTTATTTTTTTCTTTTCCTCCAATTATAAAGAAGAAAGTTTGCTTTGCTTTCATCATACAAAGGGTTTATGGGGCCTGGGCATGGAAGACATAGCTCCCAATGTGCCGTGATGGATCATCGGTTTTATGGCTTTAAAGCAGTGGATGTGTACCATACAACGCTTGTCTTCACGACGTTGAAGGAGACAGTTCAGGAGAAGCTTGGCACTGTCTTCACGTTCATGTAGTACAGCTCCTCTGTGCTGGCTGTCAGCAACAGCCAGCTCCTCAAAAACTGAGAATACGGTGCTTCCCAACAGAAGGAGTTGAAAGCAACACTATCGTTTGCACCAAGCTTGTTTTTTTTTTTTTTTCTTTTTCTATACAGAATTCAGAATTTTTGCTTTAAACCTTCTTGCTTCTGTATCTCTTTCAACCGCACATGTTAAGTCAGATCAGGGAATCTGTCATTTTAGTGTTTACTAGAAATTAGCACACATGGCTGGCCTTTATACAGCACTTCAACAATCACAGCTAAGTTAGAGGAATAAGGACGAATCACAGGGTGAAACGGAATACATGTCATCCCTGTTTGTCTTTTGGCATTGATGTCAATTACACCTATTTTTTAGTCCCTCGTGCCCCTCAATTTGCTGTTCTCTTGAGGTCATTACCATCTAATCAATTGGATGACAGTATTCTTTCTCCTGCTAAACACAGATCATTTTCTCCCAAGGAACAGCATACTTGACCAGCCTAAACTTTGTGAATAGCAGATGGCTATATTCTCTCCCACGTTCCACCTGCCACTGGGTCACATCCTCCCTTGCTTCTCCCAAAAGTCAATCATTGAAACTTCTACTAAGTGTGTTGTAGTCCCTCTCATATTCAAGATGCTTCCCCTCACCCTGTGAAAAGCAAATTCCTGATGTGATAAATAAAGTCTTAACTTTTTCAGTAGACTTCCAAACCCGTCACAATCCGTTACCTCGCCAGACTTCAAACCCAGCTGAAATTATTTTTATTCATTATAGTGTTTTAATTGTTGCAAATGCATATAGCTGTCCAGCAGTTACTTGTGAAATTGAGTCTGTAGGTCTTTCAGGAAAATTTGTGAAAGTAGAATTTTGTCTAAGTAGCCGTTATTATATACTCACACATATACATACAGACATCCATCAAAAAAACCCTTGGGCTTGTCATAAGCATTGCATTCCTGAATGGTAGAAGTATGGTTTAATGCACAGAAATGTACTCATGAGAGTGTGTCATTCTGCAGATACTTGTTGACTTTTTATTTTGGGATAGTCTTTGTTTCGTGACTGTACTTCTGAAACAATGTTTCCTGTCTTCAATATTCACAGACATACTACAATTGTTCTTGCATTAAGGAGGGGTTAACGAACCCAGATCAGGAAGGTGATTTTATTGATGCCGTACCTGGGAAATGTGATGTGAACTGCTATAAATTACCTTTATTCATTGCACTGTTGTTTTCTTCAATTATATTTTCTTGGTGTGCTGGTATACCAGGAACGTTATGCATCTTCCGGTATGTATAAATTGTTCATAATCATTATAGTGTTACTAGATAAGAAAATAAATTTAGAAAACATCAGAATATTCAGAGGGAAGCATTGTACACACTTTCACACTTTTGTATCTAATTTGCTTTGTTTTGACCTATTTACATAAAGTGTGCAGTATTGCATTTACATTTCGTTAACTAAGCAAATTTGCCAGACACAATAAATTCAAACATGTAGGAAAATTGTTATGTATCATAATTCATGTAGTTTTTCTTTTAGCTAATTTACTTGCTTAAAAGATATAGGATTTTGGGTCCGGCCTGGTAAACTAGCGGCTAAACTCCTTGTCTTACACGCACTAGGATCCCATGTGGACACCGGTTTAATCCCGGCGGCCCCTCTTCCCATCCAGCTCCCTGTTTATGGCCTGGGAAAGCAGTCAAGGAAAGCCCAAAGCCCTGGGACCCTGTACCCATGTGGGGGATCCAGAAAAGACTCCAGGATCCTGGGTTTGGATCGCCTCAGCTTGGGGAATGAATCATCAGGGTGGAAAATTTTCCTCTTTCTTTCCTCCTCTGTATATCTGACTTTCCAATTAAAAAAAATATACATATACATATATATTTTTAAATGTAGGCTTTTAAAGCTAAATGGATTTACTTAATTTTATACATAGGAAAAAATCATAGTGGAATAGTTAATTATGCAGGTATAATCATGGTATTGATTCATTAATGCTAGCCACTTGGTGACTGTTTCTAGATAATATCCTGAATTTTAACTCTTTTTAAGAGACTTATTTATTTTTATTGGGAAGGCAGATTTACTGAGACAAGAAATGACAGTTGAGCTGAGAGCCTATGGTGAGAGAGGAGAGCTTTTGTCACAGTGGGAGCAGCACATGCCAAGATTCTGGAGGGAGAAGTGGCTTTGTAGTGATCTATTTTGCAGAATTCAGAGAACAAGGAATAAGAAGGGTCAAGCCTGGGAGTCAACAAGCAGTGAGACTGACAACATCATGATAATTATTGTCATCATTTTGACAATTGTAGATATTCCCCTTATAACAGTGAGAAGACATCCAAGGATCCCAGTATGAGGTAGTTAAATAATCTGAATTTTAAAAGTCACTTTGTCTGTTAATTGAATAATGAATGTGGGACTGGCGAGGGGGTATTACAGGCTGATCCTCTGCCCTGCAGTGTTAGCATCCCCTGTGGGCACCAGTTCATGTCCCAGCTGCTCCAGTTCTGGTCTAGATCACTGCTTATGTCCTGGGAAGGCCCCCACATAGGAGATGTGGAAAGAAATCTCCTGGCTCCCAGCTTTGTGTCAGATCAGCTCTGTCCTTTGGGCCCATTTGGGGAGTGAGTGAGTGTGTGGAAGAACTCTGAATCTCTCTTCACTCTGTAAAACACACCTTTCAAATAAAAAATAAATCTCAAAAAAGGATATAGGCGGTCGTTGCAACATGAATTAGGGAGTTGTTTTATTTTATCAGGCAAAAGATAAGGGCTTGGAACAGGCCAGTGTAATGGGAGGTGGAGAAAATCAGAAAAAAATGGTTTTTGCATCACAGTTTCCTGACTGATTCTGGTAAATGAGGACAAAGATCTCACTGAGGGTTGGGAATGAATGTTGACTGAGATTTCTGAGAAATTACATTGGGGAAGAATAAATTTTCTGCGAGAAAGAAGCATGTCCATAACTAAATAACAATGATATGTACCAAAACTATAAGTGTGAAGAGGTCAGCTGAGAGATGCTAGTATTTATTTTTTAATTTGAACTTGGTCCAACTTGATATTGTAGGGAATATATTTTTGATGTATCTATGTTGTTGGCTAAGGCTTAGTGTCCCACTGAAAAATAGTTCCACAAATAAATTACAAAATGACAGTAATTTAGCAGGAATGTGGGAAAAGACTGGAAGCAATGATGAGATCATTTTAGTTTGTTTTTAAGCCAGTTTGAATTCTGTCAACCGTACAAGTGCTACAAAGGAAAAAATATATATATAGGAAATTTCAAAAAGAGCGAAGTGTTGTGTAGAGCAAGTAATAATGTTACACTGATGATGTCATATTGCTTTGTTTCAGTGTTGTTCCTGAAAAACTATGTTCTCTGGCCCTGGGAGTGAGCTATACGGTTCGGCGAATACTTGGTAAGAGCTTTTGATCATGTGCCTATCATAGGAAATTGTTCATTGTTTGCTGTGCCTATGCACATTTAGAATTTTAAAAGTAATAAATGATGTAGAGTGAGAAGGATTTTCTTTCCTAGACTGTAAGGAGATAATTGAAATTGTTGGAAAACATGCGTATTTTGCTGTATTAACTAGGATGAACCAGCCTAATCTGTAGTATGCTCACTATCTCTTAGAAACAGTTTGGTAGCTCGCATAAAGCTGCTGCATAAGAACAGAAACTATATTTTACATTGCTTGATGAATTAGAAAGCCATAAACTGAAAACTGTTTTTAAAGCACTGTTGTTGCTGCTGCTGTTGGGGGAAGAGTGTGATGGACTCCATTCTTTGGCTTTCGTCACTACCAAAACCTGTTGGATTCCAAATCCACCTTAATGTAGAAACTCTAATTCAAGCAGTTGGTTAAAATTATTGTTTGGATAAAGAAAGAAGACTGAACTGGATTGAAGACTGACAGGGATCCCTCAAAAGGTGGGAAAAAATCGAGATAGGATTCTATTGGAGATCAAGGATTCATGTTGTTAGCAGGTCAATATGTGTAATTAAAAGTAATCAATTTAGCTGAAAAAAAAGTTTAAATAGAGCTTCATGCTGGGCAGCAACCCACAAATGACAGAGATATTTGCAGTGGAAGAAGTAGCTTCTGAAATAACATATGTGCAGGAAGTTTCCGACATGAAAAAGAAACCCATGAGGGTGACGCATCTTAGAATGGGAGAGGACAAAAAAATTAAAAAGGGCCCAGCGGCGTGGCCTAGTGGCTAAAGTCCTCACCTTGAACGTGCCAGGATCTCATATGGGCGCCAGTTCTAATCCTGACAGCTCCATTTCCCATCCAGCTCCCTGCTTGTGGCCTGGGAAAGCAGTGAAGGACGGCCCAAAGCCTTGGAACCCTGCACCCATGTGGGATACCCAAAAGAAGTTCCTGGATCCTGGCTTCGGATTGGCATAGCATCGGCCCTTGCGCTCACTTGAGGAGTGAATCATTGGACGGGAGATCTTCCTCTCTGTCTCTCCTCCTCTCTGTACATCTGACTTTCCAATAAATAAATAAACCTTTAAAAAAAGATTTTTTTAAAAAAAGAAGGCATTATAAATGTCAAATGTCTTCAGATATTTCAGAACCAAGCTAAGAGAGAAAGAAGACCTACTTTTTTTTTTTTCTGATCTACATTTCAAAGAGAACTCCACAGCTGTGGGGAGCAAGACTTAGCGGGGGTAACTGTGGAGGGAAAGCAGAGGCTTTTGCTGAAGTCTGAGTTACCACTGGAATTGCAGGACGGACAATCAACATATCTAAGACTCTGACCAGTGGAATACCCATAAAGAGGAGTATTCAAAGTGAATATCAGGCTGAGGATTTAAAACATGGACAACTGCAAAAAGCACAGAGAAGGGAAGTCTAGGTGATGGAGCTGGACAGGGTTCAAGAGTCATGAGGAGGAGGGCCCTGGAGATGACATGAGATGGTCGGACATTGGAACTGCAGTTCAGAGAAGTCAGTCCCCAACAGAGACTGGCCTCTGTTGCTTCTTGCTGCCTCGATAAGGAACAGTTAGACACTAACAGCCCAGTTTTCAGTCACTGCAAATGCCACAACGGGAACCATAGCAGATAAACCGAGCTTACAAATATCAGCGTTTAGTATCTCTATTTTGAGTAATTTCTCCTATATGTTTCATGCAGAGGTCAGTAGAAACGTTGCAGTGCTATCTAAATAGCAATATGTGTAGAATTCTGAAACTAAAATTGACTGATTTTTTATGCTATAGAAAGAATTTCTATTGATTCATAATCTTATCTATAAGTAAACTATCAGATAATTTAAAAAGTTTAGAGTCATATATACATATATAGCACACACATAGAGAGAGATAGATATTGTATGCTTAATTGTAATTATTGTAATTCAACTCTTTTATGGGGAATTCATAATTATTCTTTATTTTCTAGGGAGTATTCCTGGACCACTAGTTTTTAAAATAACAGGAGGTATTTCATGTACGTTTCGGGATACGGAACACTGTAAAGGCATAGGACATTGCTGGATGTATGACAAAACGGAAATGGCCTTTCAATTTATAGGAATAAGTAAGTTATATGGATTCAAGAACTGTAGAGGAATACACTTGTTTAAAAGCTTAAGAGTTTTCATAATTAGATCAAGAGGCAATAGTTCATGAACAAAGATTTTGGTGCCCTTAAGCTACATAGCAAATGTTCTAGAAATTGAAGTCACCTAGGATATTTTTTTGTAAATATTTGAATCTGTGCATTAAATACACAACAGTTCCATGTTAATTCTCAAACAAGGAGCAGTAAATAGCACAATTTTATTTTGGAAGCTAATTTTGCCTGCTGATATGAAGTCTAAGGCCAAATTGTTTGCTCTTGTGATACTTTCCATTTCCAGAGAAAAATCAGTTAAATCAATCTGAATCAAACTATTATATCTCTATAAAGCACAAATGTAATCTTGTCCTTGTTAAGTGTGAAGCTTATTTTTCCCTTTCGTTCAATCGCATCGTGGTTCTTGGAACTTGGAGGGCAATTTCTTGACTAAATCAGATACACAGGGAATTGGATGCTGCGCTGGTATGTAGGTTTGTGTAACTTTGGAAAATTCACTAGATATTCCAGGACCTTAATTTATTTATCCATTAAAAGAAGGTATTGCACTATGCAAGTCCTAAAATTTTAATCTTCAGTGGTTTTATTGTGTAACTGTTTTGTGTAGTAAACATTTAGATGTGCTTTAATGATTTTATGACTTAATTTCATGGATTCAATAATTAAAAGAGCCCAATAATGATAAACTCTAACATTTAATGATAACAAATCTGTGTGTAACAATTAGCACAGAGCAGTTCAGGCTGTCATGCCTTAGACGATTATTCACATCTTCCACATCATTACTAAACTTTGTATTTGTGCTTTAATTATGACATGAGAGGTGTTTAAATTTGTAACTGAGTTGACTCCATTTTTATTTTTAATCCTAGTTTTGCAATATTTTAAAATTTTATTTTCTAGTATATGTTCACTTGACTTTTACATATATTTTGGATGATTTGCTCTTTCTAAAATTATTTACCTTTGTATTTCCTGCATTTTAAAAAAGGCTACTTACATTCGTTAACAATATGTATATGTATATGTGTGTGTGATTTAGACTTATTAAAATATATACCCCTTTCTGTAGATCTAGAAATCTATCTAGACACATAACTGACAAACTTCTTTTAGGATTTTCTTATTTAGTAGATTAATTCCTTCATATTTGTCTGAAAAGAATGAAATCTGGCTACATTTAGTTTTAGCTAAATACTTTTTTCCTTGATCCAGAATACTACAATAACTCTTTCTTAAAAACAAACAAAAAAACCTATTTACTGACTTATTTTGAAAGAGTTACATGTACATATCTACACACACACACACACACACACACTGAGAAAGAGAGATGTTAGATTTGCTGATTCAATTCCATCATGGCTTTAATGGCTAGTGCTGCTCCAAGCTGAAACCAGGAGCCAGGAGCTTCATCAGGGTCTCCCACATGAATGGCAGTGGTCCAAACAATTCGGATCATGTGCTGCTGCCTTTCAGAAGTCATTAACGGGGAGCGTGATCTCGGGTAGAGCAGGTGACATAGTAGCACACAGGTCACAGGCAGTGGTTTTATTTTTGATTCTGTTTGACCGGGCTCAACTAGGTGTAAAAATGCTTTTCTCTGAGTCCTTTCTCTTTTTCCGACTTTGATGCGCTAAACTTCTTGGATCTACAGCTCAATGTCTTAAACATTTTAAAAAATATTGGACATCACCATTTAAAATAATTTTAATGTTACCTTTTTACTTTATTTTTCACTTGCCCTCTGTACTACTTAACATTCAGCATTTATTAATTCCAACCAATTTTATATCAGTTCTTCAATCTCCTTCCCCTCCTCACCATCACATTCTCCAAGTTTGTTGTTCAGATCAACATTTTCTAAAGCCTTTTCATCTGTTTGAACTTGGAAAGCCATGAATGTTTAAAAAACAAAATAAAAAGGTTGCATGAAGTGACATACAGGTTGTAGTAGCTTATAAAGATTTGAAAAGACAAGTCAGGGTCGGCCCTGTGACACGGTGGGTTAAGCTGCAGATTCCAACATGGACATCCTGCAGGACAATACTTGTTCCACTTCTGGCTGCTCAGTTTCGGATCCAGCTTCCTGTTAATGTCGCTGGCCATGGCAGCAGTACTTGGGCCTCTACCACCTGTGTAGGAAGCCAGGATGGATTTCTGGCTCCCAGCTTTGTTGTGGTTCAATTTTGGCTATTGCAGCCATTTCAGAAGTGAATTAATAGATGGAAGTTCTCTTTCTTCTGTTTTGGTGCTCTGCCTTTTAAATAAATACATGCTTTAAAAGGTGAAAAAAATTATTCTTGCATTTTAGAATTAACATTGAAAAATAACACCTGTGTCTAGAAAGTTCTACAAACATTTACAAATACTTTAAAGTAACAATGTAAGATTATGCCATAATTTAGTTCTGCCCGTAGGGAATTTATACCTTTGTTACTTAAAAGTAAGTCAACACTTCTGATGATTGCATTTCTAAATTTAGGTTTTATTTGTAAATTATTCACTATATTCTTCACTGCTGTTGCGTTTTATGGATATAAAAATGTTACAAAGGAAAGCACGGAGACCTTGATTTTGCCAGTGAGGAACATACAAGTTCAAAACCAGGAAAAAACTGATTTATAACTGGATCATCATCATGTAAGAGTTGTGCATTTTCAACTTTTCACTAAAATACTATGTTGGTAAAATTTAAAATAATAGTGCAGTAACATGTCTTAAAAGCTTTGAATATTGAACGAGGGTTTGAAGAACACATTGGCATGCTACAATGCTATCCATAGGAAGGAAATATTTTTGCTGAATGTTAGTTTGAATTGGAAATTTAATGAGTTTTCCAATTGTACATATTTATGGGCCAGAGTGTGATAAGCCAACATATTCGTCCAAGATCTCTTGTATTTCCAGCTTCTTAAGCAATGCTTTATTTTTAACCCAAATTTAATTATTGTACAGATTTTATAGGGCGTGCATTTCGGTAAATGTGTGAACATGTTGATTTCAACGGAGGCTTACAATGGGCACTGAGAAGTTTACCTCTCTTGGTCTGTGCTTTGTGGTTAGAGCCTTTGAGTTTCTCCCTTCTATCTGCTCAGAAAATCTGCAGTAGTTTGTTGTGGACTGTAGTTGCCCACTGCGCTGTGAAACATGAAGAAGCCATTCCTTCAATCTCGGATTTGGTACCCAGTTTCCAGCCTCCCTCCATCTGTCCTCCACACTCTTCAGACTCTGGTGAAATGATTTAATGAACAGAAGGATGGCTCTGGGTTTCCCCGTGGGCAGGAGATGATGTAGTGCTTGTGTTTCTGTATCTGCCATGCTTTAATGAAAATAATGTCTTCCATCCAGCTCTATCCATTTTGCAGTACTTCCACAGCTAGGCAAATATCTTAAAGAGATGGTATCATTACCTGATTAATTTTGATGGCCATTATGTCCTTTGTCAATGTGGTGTATGAGTGACTACTTATCCTGTAGTTTGTTCATGCTGCTTTTCAGTTGGGTTGTGGAGGTTTTTCAATAGCTTTTCTAAATAAAACTTGAGATCCTAGTTACGGTCACATAATGAAAATTAGATTAACTGGTATAATATATTTCTTTTAGAAAAGGAGACCATCTGGAGTTTTTCATTTGTTTATGTATTTTTTAGTGTAAACAATAAGCAAAATGAGACAGAGATAGAAATCAAGATAGATAGAAAGATCTCCTGTTCCCTGTTCCCTCCCCTCAATGCCTGTGGTAGCTTAATTAGTAATTAGAAAGTGTGTCCATGTCCTCCACACGTGTGACAGGAACTTCGGCCATAGTAGATATAAAATTCTCTGTGGGATAATAAGCCTTTACCTGTTATATCTTCACTTGAATTTTATAAATAAATATTGCCTAATAAGCTGCAGTGACATCTATTTGCGCTTTTATCTTGATTTTATGATTAATGATAATTCATGTGAAGAAATAGTCATATGTGAATGTAGAAAATGTGTCAACCATTTATAGTTCTTTTCTTAAATCAACATAGGTTTCTGCAGAATTTTTGTTGTTGTAATATTTAATGCAATATTGTGTCTTCATCCAAAGATGAAGACACTTGATTTGGCATTAAAAATAACATCGCACTTATTCTATACAATGTTTTCTAGTTCTCCTAGGAGAAGTGATAACAGAAAATGAAATTGCCTCTTCGTTTTTTGTTATTAGTCAGTGAAGTAATGACCCAAGGTCACAACATTGAAATGAGAAGGAAATGTGACTTAAGGGGCAGTCAGATCTTGCTATCTATAGCTTGCTTGCTTAATTTCATCAGACACTTATGAAAGTATTAAAGTGATCCGATGTGCAACTGTCCTTGACTGGTCATCTCCTTTACTTGACCCTGCAGAGTCACAGAGCACTCAGGATCAGACATTCTAGAGTCTGTGTTTGGAGAACCCACGTGATTTGCTGTGCCCACATTCAGAGGAGGATAATGAGCACGTGTTGTTTACCTGTATCGCAGAAGTTGATTTTTGGCAATCTGGATTTTCACAATAAAATCTTCTTTTAAAACATTTTGGGTAGTTTTCTACAGAATTTTTCAACATCAGTTCATAACATAGATTATACCAGGAAGATGAGTACTTTCAGATCGCTTAAGTAATATCCTTCTCTCTAAATATTATTTGAAACTTATACAAAGGATAATTGTGAATGTGGTATGTGTGTTTGTGTGTATGTGTGTGACAAATTCATACTTCTGTGTGTCTCTTTGTTTTTCCAGAAAATAAAATGGCAGAAGTATAATACATAGTTTAATAAGCCACAAAGCAGTACTAATATTTTAAATATACATTTTTTCACTGTGATAAAACATGTGCTTATATACTATGAGCCACTTGGCAGGGATTGAAAATATTTTTTAAAACTTTAACATACTTTTCTTTCCATGAAATTAGGTAAACTAGTGATATCCTCACAATTTTCAGATAATAACATGCATAACGTCATTTGAAAATTTAGCTTATGCCTTCAATATTATTAGCTTAATAAATATTTTCCTGATAGTTGTCATTAATCCTATTTGGAGTAGAATACAATATTTACAGAAAAAGGAATCTTTGTCATACTCCAACCTGAAATTTCTTTTCAAATAATTACTTCAAAATTTCACTTCTTTATGCAATAAATGACTTACATTTCAATAAAACAAATATACAATTTTCACTTTTTCCTCATCTACAGTTTTTTTTTCAAAGATATATAGTTTAAACGCTGCAATACATAACTAAAATGTAATACATTAGTAGTGGATAAATCATGTTTATGAATTTAGAGAGTCAATACTGTTCTTTTTTTTTAAGATTTGTCTTATTTTTATTGGAAAGTCAGATCTACAGAAAGGAGGAGAGACAGAGAGGAAGATCTTCCTTCCGATGATTTACTCCCCAAGCGGTTGCAATGGCTGGAGCTGAGTTGATCCAAATCCAGGAGACAGGAGCCTTCTCTGGGTCTCCAACTTGGGTGCAGTCCCAAGGTGTGGACCATCCTCTATTGTTTTCCCAGGCCACAAGCAGTGTGGACCATCCTCTATTGTTTTCCCAGGCCACAAGCAGGAAGCTGAATGGGAAGCAGGGCTGCCGGGACAGGAACCTGTGCCCATATAGGATCCCAGTGTGTGCAAGAGGAGGTCCTTAAAAATATCATTGGACTGAAAAGAATTCATAGGTTCACAGGCTTCATTTGTGACACAGATAGTTCCTGGTCTTTCAAGCTGATTTTGTATCCTGTAAATTCACTGAATTTGTTCTTTCAGTTCTAATGGTCTCTTACCAGAGTCTGGGTTTCTTTATGTGCAGCATCTCTGAATGTCTAAACAGGGGTAACTAACTTCACCTTTTGCTTCTTTTGGGCCTTTTTTTCATTGTTCTCTTCCCAAATATCTCTTATATTAATTTGCTGTAATGTTTATTGATTCATTTGTCTTTACCCTTCTCTGACTTTACCATCATTTGCATCTGGATTCATCATGGATATTAATCAATAGCTTCCTTTTTCATTATATATGTGTTTGGTTTAGGAATTCAGGTATTGCTGTTTCTTCAAGGCCTTTTGAATTATTGGGCTACTGTTGTTCATAAGGGTCCTTAATAATTCTTTGTATTTTTTTGTGGTATCAGTTGTAATATGTCATTTAAGACTTCTTATTATTTTCTTATCTCTTTACAAAACCAATGAAGATTTAAATAATCTTTTGTACTTTTTAACATTCCATTTATGCTGAGGTTATGTTACAGATGTAAAAGGAAGAATTACAGAGACAAGAGACTGAAAAAGATCTTCGACCCACTGTGTTTCTCCCCAAATTGTTGCAGAGGGCTGGGCTGGACCAATTGGAAGCCAGGAGCCAGGAGGTCCTTTCACGTCTCCTGATGCCTTCCCAGTTTGTTAGCAGGCAGCTGCATCAGAAGTGGAGCCTCCGGGACTCGATCTGGTGTCCACACAGGATTCTAGCACTGCTGGAGGAGCTTGGCTTGCCACGTCACCACAGCTGGTGCCAGTCTCGCTGCTATGGTATTTATTATGTTTTTCCTTTTACTAACTTTGGGTCTAGGTTGTACATCTTTCTAGGTCCTTCACATGCATAATTAGGTCTTCAGTATCTTTATATTTTGCTAATATATGTGTTTACTGCTGGAAAGCTCCCTCTTACTAGTGCTTTTGCTGTATTCCATGGGTCCTGATATTTTATTTCTGTTCTAACTAATTTAAAGAAATGTCTCAGTTTCTATTTTGGTTTCTTCAAGGATCCATGGTTTACTCGGGAGCATGTGATGCAGTCTTGATGGATTTGTATAGCTTCCAGAGTTTCTTTCGTTAATTTTCTGCTTTAGTCCATTGCCTTCAGAAGACACATGACATGCTGTCAATACTTTTTGGATTGTTTGAAACTTGCATATGGTTTTGTCTAAAGAATACTCCATGTGTTGATTAAAAGAATGTATATTTGGAGCCAGCACTGTGGTGTGGTAGGTAAAGGTGCCACCTGCAATGCTTGCTTCCCTCCTGGGCACCAGTTTGTGCCTTTCCAGCTCCCTGCTAATGGTCTGGGAAAAGCAGTGGAAGATGGCCACCTGGACTTCTACCACTCCCATGGGAGATCCAGATGAAGAGCCTGATTCCTGGCTTTACTGTGGCCCAGCACTGGCTGTTAGAGCTATCTGGGGAATCAATCAGTAGCTGCACCACTTTTCTCTTTGTCTCTTCCTCTCTTTTAACTTTTTCAAATAAACGTATTTCCTTAAAAAAACACCTGTGTATTCTGCAACTAAGGGAATGTTTTTTAGATGTCTATGAAGTCCGTTTTAGTGTATAGTAGAAGTTAGCTCTGTTGCTTTTCTGTTGATTTTGTTTTTCCTAGTTAATTTGTCCATGGGTAAAAGTGGGGATTATCGTCCCCCAATACTAGTGTAGTAGAGTTTATGTTTCGTATGGTCACTGCAATTGGTCATACATAATGATGGCTGGGACAGTAATCCAGCTGACTGGCCTTGCAACTCTATTTGGTACTGGTGGAGATTCAGTGTTTGATTACAGGCGTTGGCTTGAGGACAGGGACCATTAGTATACACCCAGTGATGTTTTCATTAGTTCCAACATGCTATGCTGTGCTCGCTAGTGCTGTACTCCCCAATGTCTGGAATCTCTCCATGGTTAGAAGCATGGTGAACGGAGTTTGTTGGTTGCTCAGCCCAACACTATGTTGGTGCGATTCCCAGTGTTACTGATTTTTGGTTTCAAAATCTTGGACAAGTGACTAAACAGTCTGATGCCTTAATTTCTTTGCTTACAAAGAGACTGAAAGTAATACTAGCTATTATGCCGAGCTGTTGTATATATTAAATGAGTTAAGAATAGGCACATAGCCACATCACTTAAAACATTGTCCAACAGATAGTAACTGATGAGTAAATTTAAGTTCTTATAATTTATTTGGGATCCAGCTTTATAAGCACTTATCACTTAATGTTTTGGGTAAAACTTTAAAAATTTTTTTTGTTAGTGATGATGTTTACATAAGTTTATCAAGGTGGGAAGGGTCCAGGATCAGAGGATAGTGGGTGAGACCTTGTTTATACATTTTCTTCTTTTACCTGTATATGGGTGGGGCGGGGTGGGGGAGATACAAGAGGAGAAACCACACCCAGCTTCCCAACCACCACATTACCCCAGGGACTGGGGAGCTGCTATTCAATGTCATCCCAAGTTCCTCACTGCGGAGCATTTTCTGTGTTCCAAATAGTTCTGAGATGCTGCTGATATTGCTGCCCCACAGATGAGGAAATCTTTCTGAGGTTGATTGGTTGTCATAGTCTGCCTGTGAGTGTCCTTTGGCCCAGAAATTTGCTGTCAAATTTCACTGGGGTGATTGATCATTTTGTTCTGCCCTCCATCCTCAGCAAACCAATGGCTGGGTCGCCCAGCCCAGCCCTGCCCAACACGTGCTTAGATAAAACTTTTTAATATATATATTTTTAAGATTAATTTCATTTTTATTGGAAAGTCAGATATATAGAGAGGAGAGACAGAGAGGAAGATCTTCTGTCTATTGATTCACTCCCCAAAAGGACACAACAGCTGGAGCTGAGTTGATCCAATGCCAGGAACCTCTTAAGGGACTCCCACGCGGGTGCAGAGTCCTCAGGCATTGGGCCATTCTCCACTGCTTTCCCAGGCCACAAGCGCCTCTGAGGCTTTTCCACTTGGTATCTCAGGGTTTCCTGGTGCAATCGGCCACCGTGTAGTGCACCATCTAGTGACTGCTTTATATTTAATGTTTCTCTTTCCATTGGACACCTTCACAAATGAATCACTTGTGCTTAAATGCTCATCTGACAAGCTGCTTTGGGGATATGGCAGTTTTGGAGAAGTAGAATAAAAGCCTCCACTGTTATTATTAATCAATTTCTTGCTAAACAGAATGTACTTTATGTGCATGAAGACAGTTCCTACGGTTCTGGTTCCATAAATAACTCCTGTGTTTTCATTTTAGATAGCAGTCCTTCTTTTAATGCCATCTGTTCTGAATTATCATGCATTAAGACTTATCATGCATTCAGACTGTTATTCATTTAAGTTGCCTTATCTAACATAACTCATGCCTGTTGCTTTATTTCGAAGCTTTTTTGGACTTTTTTGATTGAAATATATCCTGTAAGTAGAGCTTAGTATGGGTTTGTGCTTTTTGTATTTTGAGCAATCTACCTTCACAAGAAGTGAGTACTTTATATTAATCCTCATATTTTAGAGTGCAGAACATTCTGCTAGTTCCAGAGAAACTACACCTTCCACAAATATTTACTACACATATTCTTTGAAGAAAATACTTCAGACATACATAAACACAGACTACCCATAAGGCTTGTCTTCCAACATTAGCTGGCGCACTTTTCTTTCCCACTCCTTTCCTATTCCCAATATGAGACAATATTCTTTCACTTGCTATGAATAATTTTAAGGCAATCAGCAAGTTTATTTTACTTTCAGTGTATTTATCCCAATTCAGTAAGCAT